AAAAAAATTCATTTACACTTCCATAAGTTCGATAACCAGTCGCTGTTCGTGGCTGGGGAAGGAACCCGTGCACTTCTCGGGCTCGGGAAGGAACGTAGACCAGACTCGGGAGAGCGGCGGAAGCCTACTCAAGTAGTTTAATGCCTGGGTCAGGAATGTAAAGTAGAATTAGGGTTGGGCAGCCGGTATATCTCTTGTTATATTTGTCTTACCAAGCTGAACTTTTCACTGATTATAAAACTCGACGTCCTGCCTCGCATTAACATATTATTCTGACCACGTGGCATGTCACGTGATCATTTTTGTTAAAATTTGGTAAATCGGCGAATTGGTGGTGAATTTTCATTCTATTGATCAATAAATGAGCGTTTGCGATGCAAATTTAAATTATCTACCTTGCTACGTTTGGAATGATCTCATTTGATTTCGTTTATAGAAGATATATATGATCAAAAGTCGAATTTTGTTGCAAAAAAGGACCTTTCACTCTATAAAATTTTTCTGTGAAAAGAGGGACGGTCATTCCAAACGTGAGAGGATGGAAATAATTGACCTACATCTAAAACGCGTTTTTTGCAGGATGTTATTACTAAAAACCGCCACCAATTCCTCAAATAATGGCTATTTTCCGTTAAACGTCACGTGACATGTCACGTGACCTGTCAGATGTATTAATTTTACTTTAAAATGTTCAGGACGTCAAAACCTAACTGTGTGCTAAATCTGGTTCCATTGCTATTTATACCTTCAGAAATATAAGTAATAAAGTATTTTCATCAATAAAAGCCTTTGACCCAGGCCTTAATATAAACTACTTGAGTAGTACGACCACTGCATGCGCCGTTGAAAAATTTTTACGCACGTTCAGTGGGCCGAAAAAATGATTGGTTCACGGAGAAAAAAAAATACACACGTTCCGAGAAATGTCTCAGTAATTTGTGACAATCGGTATTGACATAAATTAATATTTTGCCGACACGGAACAGAACACTGGGTGCGAGCGAAGGCTCATGATTAGTACTTTGGTAAAAAGAGGCGGTTGAGAAACTCGTGACGTTCTACGGCCAGCCTTGCCACTGGCACTGTCGCAAAAGGTTTATTTTTATTATGTAAATGGCACTATCTGATTTTTCTTTCGTTCTGTTGTTTATATAACACCTTTAAAGCCCCAAAGGTGGTACCACTGCATTTGGTCGGGGGTACACGGTCCCTCTTTTTCCTAATAAGAGGTTTTTGGGGTTTACATGTCCGGCTTTGGGCTAGCCTGCGAGTAGCCTTACGTTTGGGGATTGAGCGCTAGTGGCGCGGGCGTGCGCGTGAGTTCTCCCGTTGGACTGACTTAGACACTGGAAAGAAGCAGAGACCAGGCTGCGCGCACTTTGATTTTGACCTACTTTTAGGGCTTGATTCCCAACTTCGCGCCTCCTCACCAGACTCCTCCCCGCTCTTTGCCGCTCGCGCATGTGTTCCCAAATTAAATGTGAGCCTGCTTGCAGGCTAGCTTTGTGCTATGTAGGATGTTATTTGATGTATCTCTTATCCACTTTGTTGTAAGCTTGCTTTCTCAATTAAAACATATCTTGGGCCTGGCTGACCAACGCGCCCATGCCTCAACCTTTGAGTGTGCTCCGTTGTGTAGTGAAAACAAAATATAAAATTTCTAGTGCATCGAAGGGTTAAAAAAATCATGCCTATACTAAATCACCGCACCCCCACCCTCAAAAGTCAAACGCTCTATCCCTTAGATGGGGCAGGGAGAGAACAGAACTCCGTTATGTGATGTAAAAAATAAGTCTGCGCGGTTTATTCAAAAATTGAACGCATCGCAGCCATGCATCAAGCCATTGATCAGGTCACGGACGGCTGTTCCATGTACTAAGATTGCGTGACGGCGTCTTATTAATTTTCGAAAAAATTTGCCCAAATTTCTGCAAGAATCATCCCCATACAAGGAAACGCATGTAATAGTAAATGGTCCCAGCAGAAGTCAGCCGAAACCTCTTCCGTTCTTCACCTCCACCCAGAGCAGAGCCAACAATAACAGGGTACCTAATTTCCGTCACTTCGCCACCAAGAGGCTATCGTAATGCTCCTGATTAGAAGTTACAAATCAATAAAATATTTCACTTCACTTTCCTTGTCCTGTTTCTTTTCCCATCATCATTTATATTTAATTTCCTGTTTGATATTTTAAGAGGTTGGAAAATATTACGCCTTCAAGCCGTTAGTTTACATTAGACATGTTGTCAGACAAAGGGGTCCTCACCAGTTCTTATAGTGTTAATGCATAGTTTGATTTTCACTGCAGACAAAGTATGATTATCAATATTAATTCATTAGAGTTTGATTCAATTTATTTCTGACTGAAATTTATTTTGTTTCAATTCATTTCCTTCCCTGATTCTAGCGGCCCTGGATCGAATGGAATTTAAGAGACCAGCCAAAATTCAAGTGATAAATATTATTTTTTTCTCTTCAAATCCCATTTAATCCAATTTTACGCTAAAAGAGAAATATCTAAGATTTTTCTATTGTCAAACAATGTCTTTCTGAGCTGCACATCTGACTGAAGTATAGGAATTTTACAGCAATTAACTGCGGTGATAAACCTCGCACTGTGTTTATGTAGCACGATATATTTGTTCAATTTTCGTTCAAACGGAATCTGAAATCGCCGCACCCAGACCGAAAAGAGCCGTAAGATGCCGAAAATAGCCGGAGTGCTTTCCCGAAGGTTCTCGTAAATTTCCGACATTTATACAGAGGGCTGTGAATGCCGGGAAATTCTTCTCTTCTTCCGCTCTGATTGTATTAGAATATTGTTATCATTTACCAAAGCCGAGTGGAATATTGGTTGTTTCGGCTTTCGTGGACGGTTTGGGAAATGCTGAGCTTTTTGTAGATTTTAAGAGTGTTTCTGTGCCGTTGTCGAGCTCGGGGGCTTTCCAGAACAACATGGTTTTTACGGGCTCCGTGAGGCTGAAGGTGCTGGAAGCGACTGACTTAAAACCTGCGATTTTAGCTCAAAGAAGGGTGAAATCTATCGACCCTTACGTATCCGTTCATGTGGATGATGTTCCTATAGCACAGACTTCTTCCAAACCGAAAACATCAACGCCAATTTGGAACGAGGAGTTTGAAAGCGACATAGAAAATGGAGAAACGCTAGGAATAACTGTATTTCACAACGCAATCATGCCCCCCGATCCGTTCGTAGCGAATTCGTCGGTTCCTTTGGAAGAGATCATCAATTCGGGAACCTCTGATATCTGGGTACGGCCTAGACAATTTATTTGAATTTCTCTTTCTTTAGAAGGACTTAATTAGTTCCAAGGTTGGCTATTTCTAATGCCATTTTATCATGCGTCTTCAGATTCCACTTGAACCAGAAGGAAAAGTTCATCTCTTTATCGAACTCAAGCCAGCCATTCAGGGTAAGTATACTCAATTTTTCTTGTCGAGTTTCGAACCGTTTGTGATCGCCCCTGGACATGTAACGTTTGCTTAAGAGTACGTTTTTTCTTTATCTTGTTGTTGACTGTTGAATAGAATTTGTGCAACAATACAGACCACTGGTTATTTTGCAGCAAACGGATTAGAACGTAGCGATGCCAGCTTTGCGTCGAAAAGCTACTATTCGCGTGCTCGTACAGGCAGTATTTGTTATAGATCGTGAAAGTGCCGATTGAAGGACGTTAATAGCTTTATATTTAAGTAATTCTTGTTTCAGGCAAAGTGTAACTAAATTACGGTGATGTTTCGATGTTTATTTCCAACAGATAGAGATCGGAGAGTCTTTAAGGAAAGGGAAGGCGGCATCAAAGGCCGAAGAGGAGCTATGAGGCGAAGAGTGCACCAAAGCAACGGCCACAAATTTATGGCAACGTACCTCAGACAACCGACCTTCTGTTGCCATTGTAAGGAATTCATTTGGTAAGAGCGACTTTAAGCCTTCTACGCATTGTATTGAGTGTCTTTGTGGAGGGCTTTATAATAAAAGGGATTTGCGCTTTTGGTGAATGTGTGACTCGGCTAAGGCCAACGTGTCGAGACTGCAGAAAAGCAAACTCGAGTATTTCCTTTTCAGCTGGTCGCGTCGATTAATGTTCTTTTGCATTTTAAATATTATGTAAGCCATTAAACGACGAGAACAGATGCCATTGTGAGATCTTTTGCCCGCAGAAATTGTCCCTTTGTGAAGCTTTGCCGAGTTTAATAAAGCTTTTTTTTTCGTATGTTGTCTTGAGTGACATGGCCCTGTGACTCACTATGAAGGCACGTTTGACATTTCTTCTTTGAGCTTTGAAAGTATTTGTTTACTGAGCAATATCATAACACCTTTTCGTGGTGTATTAATCATTATTCGAACTCGCTTTTTTTGTGCATACTATATTTCAGCAGCAAACTAGACTGTTAAAGTGACTTATATATATATATATATTATTGCGTTCTTGCAATAAATTAATGGACGGGCTCTTCAATTCGCACGCGATCCGCATCGTCTCGTCGACGTGACCGAATTATGTGCTTTCAAGCAAATAGCATAGTAGAGAGAATGGAAAGGTGGCAGAAGTTTTGGTCGAACAAGATTAAACTTATTAAATATTAATCTATATCAAAATCGGGCTTTGTTTTTCCTTTTTTCCTGCGTGCAACGTTGGCTGATCTGTGCATGGAGACAGTGGTTTTTTGGGCTTAGAAATTATTGTTGAATATACGTTGAACCTTGATCAGTGAGCAACTTTCTGTTTATTATTCGTTTTGACAAGCATATCCCCAAAGTTACTCTCCATAGGTTTTTGTTGCAAGACTCGAGTTCCAGTGGATTTATTTTCATTTAGTATAAGTAGGATTACAGTTCACTCTTTAGTTTTCTCTTTTCTTTGCATCAGGCATAAAATCATGTTATTAAAAATATATTGTTTAAAAAACTTATATGCACACCTCTTTTTCATTATGTTATTTTCATTTTGTTGCGTGTTTTGATAAGATGTTTGATCAATTTTAAATAGGAGCCTTTACTATATTAAATACTACATGTGAAATTTCGTTACCTTTTGAATATACATATTTAGGCCAAACAAACTTGATGCTATGTCTTGTAAGATTAACTGTAAACAAATTTGCCAAGCCATTGAAGTAATATGGAGAAAAGTAGAAGATTTACAATCTCTTGAACAGCATGTTCACATCCGCATAGAACAAAAGAAAATTCAAACTCCACTTTTATTTTAATGAGTAAGTTACTTTGACATCTAGTTGGTTCATTTGTCAATCAATAACTCAACCACTTTTTCTCATAAGGGAACAAGTGTATACTTATGAAATTTTTAGGAGGCTGCAGTGTTATAAACTTTCAATATGCTCCTTGCCATTAAATGAATCGGTTGTAACCAGCTCCCAATTTTTGGCAATTATCATGGAAATTATTGTAAGTAGTTAAATCTAATGGGGAAAAAAAGTTCAGGAGTTGCGCACAATTTACAAGTTCATCCTTCGCAGGTGCCTTGCGAAAAAAGGTTTGCCTGTACCATTGTTAAGATATCCACCATAAACTATGAGCAGAAAGCTTGTTAAGTGCATACAAGGTTGTGTTTTAAAAAATATCATGTTTTTAGTTAAATATCAGTCATATCCTATACCGGTACTTGAAACACCAAAATGTCTGGTGGTTGTTTATTTGCAAATATTTTTGTCAGCTGTTGATTCTAGCTAGGCGCATTTGAAAAATGATGGAGCCGTTCCATCTATGTGTTTGTAACCTGACCTTAAAAACTGAGGCTCGGTGATTGTTGAATGATCGTTAAGTTTCTTTTGAGTCCATAGAAAATACTGGAATTGAAACTTCTCCTAATCAATATTTGTGTTATGCAAAAGGTAGTCTGAGAATGACAATCAGTTTTGACTGTCTTTGTACTTCTATGTTGGAAATTTCAGGTCAAATTTGACAGAAAGGCATTAAAACCTTGTCTTGGTTCCATTTGTTTATACCTGTAGCAGAGGAAGTCTAAGTATTTTTATTCTAAAGGTTTTCAATTATTTCACATCTCTCGCAGTGATGGCAGATCATCATGTCAACGTACATTGCTTCTCATTGTTCGTCTGCAGCCAATGAAATAAGTAGTTGCTGGCGTATCTACTTCAATAAGAAAATGTCATATTTTAGACATTATTTAGTCACAACCTAGAGCATAACAACTTGATACGCATTATGGAAAAAAAGTCTCTGTGATTGATAGGGAAAATGGTGTTTTTAAAAACATTCAGAGTAGGTACTACATTTTGTATATTACAAGCTAAATCTATCGCTGGTAAATCATCAGTGTCTTCTGAGAAAGCTTGTGGCCAATGGAGGCAACAATATTGAAGAGGAATGACGATATAATGTCTACTTTAAGTGTAGTTTTCAATGATGGTGCATTGCATTTGTTATGCAATTATTTTTTGCTTGTGAAGACACAGATGTGCATATACAACAAATACCAGATTTAGTCTAACTGGGACAAGAACTGAACAACAAAATACGCTCCAAACCTGCATTTTCAACAGTTTTGGAAGAGATTATGGCTCTTTAAGCTACCTTTGGTTTAATCAACCTTTCCAAAAAAAAAAAATGCTCTTTAGATAAAAACTGGTGCATATTTTAAGTTTAACGAAATGATGTTTTTGGAAATGTTATGTATGGTGGTAATGTTAAAAATCTGTAAACTAATATATAAAGCCCTCCATTCAGGAATTTTTTGTAGGTTATGGGTCTACTGAAGTTAATCTTGAATATTCTCAGAACTTTAGTTAGTATTTTGGCAATGAATTTGATAATGCATCGTAATAGGTGAATCTTTGCTGACGTCATTGTTTACATTTTTCCTCATTAGCGTAAGATTTTGTGCAGAGAAGGCATCACACTAGACATGAATTGACTACAAAAGAGCTTGTGAAACTTAGCAGTTGGTGAAATTTTTGGCTCTTTGGGTGTAATTTTCAAGGAGATATTGGATTTCAACAACTGCAAAATTTCTGGGCGTCAAAAGCATTAATGAACTCATGCATACTTTGTAAACTTTTGAGTTTTAAAACCTGTGTTGTGCAAAAAGTATTCGGTACATTGGGCTCAAATTCCTTGGGACAGTTAATCGTGCTGTGCCCTTTCAATATTCAGAACTAATGTTTTTTGTAGCTCCATCAGAAACTGTATCGATTATGCTAATAAGGCAAATATTATTAACAAGGATTTTCCTACGTGCAATTAGGAAACTGCACTTTGTTGCCTTCATGCCCTTTAGCAAAATATGTTTCACCAAAACACTGGCCTCATCAGTTGTGTATTTATATATTTTTAGTGAAATATATTTTATAGTGTCAATCTCACAGTTTTTAAACAGTTTTAAAACTTTTTACAGTGTGTCGAAGGAATATCAAAGATGAGATGTCTTTAAATTCGTACTTTTTAGTAATTCCTTGTTAGCCACAGCAGAGGATATTGCTTGAGCAAACACTAAGTCTAATATATTTGGTCTTACAAGGCTGACTTGAAGTTGGCCAAATCAAATAAGCTTGAATTACTTATTTTTGGTAGTGGAATTCCAGTATGGGAAGTGGGATGTTGAGAATACTAAAATTGGACTTAAAAGTGAATTTAAGATCATCTTTTTTGACTGATTCAGTGAATGTGGAAGGAAAGCCAGATTAAAAAGCGAGATGGAGTCCGACTCAATTTCGATTTACTTTTGGTCTGCTTAGCTGTGAAGCTCACATCTTAGAAGACACGGAAACATGGTCAAAATATAAGCCAAATATCTCTAAATGGTGCTGAAAATTTATGGGTCCTTCTTTCATTATTCTATCTGTTCACCTAAGAACTTGTAAATTTTACTGACAGGGTGTTTATTTCTTGTATTAAAATATAATACTACTGATTTCAGTGAAAACATTTTACTCGTTAAAAGGCAAAAAGAGCTGAGGATGATTTTGTTGATTTTTTTTTGGAAAAATAATTTATTCAGTATTTCCTGTGAATAAAAAAAAATTTGCACCTGTTTGATATGAAGATTAACTTAAATTGCTGTTGACAGTTAGGCAATGAGAGAAAGAAGTAGTGTGTTGAATGGATTGTTGCTATTTTAACACGGCTGATTCTGTATTATCTAATGGTAGCTAATTGGAAAAATTTTGATTGGAACAGTTGTTCAAATTTGTTTGCAGAATCTGGTCCATTATTCAAAATATCTTTGCTGCTTCAAATTGGATCATGCCGAGTATTTATTTTATGCTAATACTGGGCTTTATTACCATAGCTTGAGGAATTGAAATTCGTTAGCCTCTAGCAGGTGAACAAATAAATTTGTGTTTGCTGAAGTGATTAGTGAGAGGACATCTCGATCATTTTGGCAATTAAAAGCTTCACAAATGCTGCCACTCTTAAGGTTCTAAAAGCTGTTAAGCCCCATATTGTTAATAAAAAAATACCTAGACTGCCTTTCATCCATCTGAATTTGATTTTCCAAAGTTATAATGTCTGCGTTCATTATCTTGTAAGGGTAAGATCTTAATGCAACGCAGAATATTGCATTCATAACATTATTATCAGATTTTCACTCTGGATTATAAAGCAGTGGCCGAACTTCTTAGTAATTACAACTCAAATGATTTTGTGGCCACAAAGAAGTGGAAATTTAATTG